ACCAGATCTCTGGCCAGGATGCTACAGCTGTTCTGACACTATCCAGGCTCAGAAAAACACAGCTAGGAGTCTTTTTTTGTTTTGCTTTTTTTTTTTTTTTTGACTCCTTTAGGTTCTTGCCTAAGGTAAATCCTGCAGGAATAAGGACTGGGGCCCATAACAGCCTGAGGCTTTCTTGAAAACCCCAACTGAGACTTCCCTATTCTGCAAATCTGCCTGATTCTGCAGAACATCTCGGTTTCAGGCCTGATTCATTTATTAAACACTCACAGATCAGCCAAAGGCCAGGACAGTGTGTGTCCCGGGAATGTGTTGGTGCATTAACCCTTGGCTTGCCACAACATTATCTAATTATCTACATGAATGCAAGCTGCCTTGGAACACAAAACCCCTTAATAAAGCAAACTGTGGTAAAGAAACACTGAAATGAAAACAGCAGGAGATGGCTGCCCAAGCTGGGTGAGCTAGAGATGCAAAGGGATAACGAAACCATCATAATCGCATACCTGAATGGTTCTCAAACATCAACGTATCAAGGAATGAAGTCACCTGTAGTTGTAGCCCCAGGAACTGAGACAGAGCGTGTCTTTTTGTTTTAAATCACGTTTTTGCTAGTTTTCTTGCAGGAAGCCTTGCAAAGCTGCTGTGAGCCCTCCAGCTGCAAGTGCTACCAGCCACTGGATGTCCCAGAGCTGCGCTCAAACCTGCAACCCCCCCACTGCAGAAGAGGAGAGGCAAACCCAGTGGGGCAGGAGAGAGAAGAGCTTTTAGCAGAATAACTGATTTGGCTGGAAAACACAGGTGAGCTTTTGAGCACATGTGCCCTTCTTTAGGCCTGGTGGTATCGTGGCTGTGATGGAGTGAGGAAATGAGGAATCTGGACAGATGGATCTGAAGAAGAGCTTCTACATCTCAAAGCTGGTCTTGCTTCACTTATTATTAATATACCTTAAACCAGAGCACAGCAACGCTACAACAGGAAAGCAAAGTGATAAGGAGAGCCAAATCTCATCACTAAGAAGCACCTCGGAATAACTATGGAAGAGTGGGAAGACAAGTATTTCTGCTCTTGCCAAGGCGGTGTAAGCACGTGATCTGCCTCGGGTGGGTCATACAAAGCTTCAGTGTCACGTTGCTTTTCTTCTCCTGTTCCTCATTGGTGGTTTAGTGGTTTTGCTCAGCAAGTTGCCGTGATGCAAGTTTCTGTACACACATACACTGTTCCGTGCCCACTGTTTCTCCCTTCATTGAATTGCTTTGCCGTAACGTGCAGGAGGTTTTGTGATCCTCCACGCAACTCAGGAGAAAGCTGTGAACAGCTCACTGAGAGGAAAGAAACAGAACATGGCTCAAGCATGGCTTGTGATCCTTCCACACAGAAGTGGTTTTGAAACAAACACCTTTCCAGTGTCCTGCTCCCCACGGGGCCTTCCTCAGCCCACCTTTACCCTCCTCTACATCTCCCATTCTTGGCTAGATCTTCTAGTCTGAAAAATCTTTATGATGATCCACCTCTGCTTGTATGAAGCTTTCTCCTGTGCTGGAGCATTGTATCAGGGCTCCCATATTTCTCGTCTCCATTTTTCCTGCACATGGGCTGTGCCGTTGCACGATACATCTGATGCAACCCAGGCAAAATGGCTTGGACAGACGTGCACCGTGCGTCCGCACTGGGTGAGCACACACCTCCTTCCTCCCCAGGGTCTGCCAGACAGGCTGCACGTGTACCCTGGGGCTGCTCTGAACGCACCTCTAACGCGATTGGGGTGTTGGGGAGCTCAGAAACACTGGGAAAAAACCCTCAAAAGCCCACTGCTCCATTTCCTGCTCTAAGTACACTCCTACATGTAAACACTGACTTTTTTCCCCAATTATTAGGGAAACCAAGGGGGCTGTGGTTCTGTGACATACCCAAACCTGCCTCCTTACTGGATCTTCTGGACCCAGTTGCCACCCAGTTGTTCTTTGCCAGAGCAATAATAACTCAGTAACACGTACCAGGAACCAGCCAACATGTCCAATAAGGGAACAGAAGCAATCTAATGTGATTCATCATCAGCCACAATTAAGCAACAAAGCTAAGTTTTTGGCATTCATTCCTGGGACTAAGGATTCAAAAAAAATTATATTCTTGTTTAGATTAGGAGAAAGTAGAGGAGTCTGAAACCTACTCACAGGCAGAAAGGAAGGCAGATAAATCCAGGACATCATTTTCTGTAAGTGGCCTCTCTGCGCTGCTGGACAAGGAAGGAAAAAAGGTTGTTTCCTGCCACCGTTGATGCAAGGCACAAGCTAAGTAGGATGAGTTAAAAGTGAGTAGTTAAAATAAGGAGTCCTTGCCTTGCAGGATGAGTGGATAATGAACAGTATAATAAATCAAGAATAGACAAGATAGGGAGTCCTTGCCTTGCAGATGGCATGTATAACGGGACGTGCTGAAATATATAGATAGCACAAAACCAGTTAGAGCTAGGTCTGCGGTTTAGATAATGGCCAACGAACAACTGAGCTTGCGCGAAACGCTGGGGTTACAATCGGACGGGAGGAAGAGGAGCGTGACTTCATCCCCAAAGACCCCCACGACCACCACCAGAAAACACTGCGCAGACTCAGCTGGGAGGAGATCATGGAAATGCTAATTTAAATACGAAGCGGGGATAGGTAATGCATATGTATAGACGTATTGCAAAATATTATGAATATGTAATCATTTACTCTATAAAAGCAAGGTAGCAATGCTATAACGGGTGCACACAATAGGAGGAGCTATCCCCTGTGTGCCCAGCGCTGAATAAACATACCTACTTTACAATCCATCAGATTGTGGAGTGTGATTCCGCACGTCAGTTTGGCGAGCCAGCCAGGAGGTGATCTGCTCGGCTGTGGGATTGACTGGACGGCGGACTCTCCTAGGCGCGCCCCGGGTGTTTTCCTCGGAGGAGCCTCCGTCACCAGTCGCTCACCACGGGAGCAGACAAAGACCTCCTGAAGGAGCGGATTAAACGGTATGTTTTTGGGTTTCCGCGGAGCGGGCAGCTGGTAAATCGCGCAGAGACGTCTGGCGTGCAGCATAGTCCCGGGATAGGTAAGGACGCGAATTCGCAGGTTAGGTGAGCCCGAGGTAATAAAATCGCCACAGACCGATAGAGCGGTCAAATCACCACAGACCAATAGAGCGGTCGCTGGGTTTAAAGGTTTGGAACCTTCTTGGGTTTTAGGGCTCTAGGTAGGAACCTGTTGCCCAAATAGAGTGACCACAGGAAAGGGTAATTTAAGGCTTATTCTGTTATAATGTGGATAATTTCTGTGCTGCAACCGTATTGAGTATGTTATTTTGTTATGTGTGGTAATGAAAGGATTGTAAGGCTGTGGATAATTTCTGTGCAGCGACCGTATTGAGTGTGTGTGTTCTTTCGTTGTGTATTTCTGTGCCGTGTGTGTTCTTTTCTTGCTTTAGGTCATTGTATAGTGCACTAATGGTGGATATACTGGCTTTGAACTGACTGCTAATGGTTAACGGTTTATGATATATGTTACAAACGGACTTGGTGATTGTTTAAACTCGGTATATTTTGTGATATGAATGAAAAGTGTAATGGGCCCTTTAAGTGTCTGTGTGCCGCTGTGTGAGTGAGAGCAGCCGCTGCTGTGTGTCTGTGTGCCTGTGTGTCTGTGTGCCTGCAGGGGCAGGGTGTGAGTGAGACGCCGCTGCTGCTGTGTGAGTGAGAGCAGCCGCTGCTGTGTGTCTGTGTGTCTGTGTGTCTGTGTGCCTGCGTGTCTGCAGGGGCAGGGTGTGAGTGAGACGCCGCTGCCGCTGTGTGAGTGAGAGGCAGCTGCTGCAAGATAAATAAGAAGTTTGTATTTGTGTGTTTTTGTACCGTGATCGTATTGAGTGTATAAGTGTAAGAATTAAGCAGTATCCTTTAAAAATGGAAGACAGAGAAGGGATTCGGCCAGTAATAGAAAAATTCTTGCAATTAGGGTTGCTAGAAGAATGCGAATCTGAGTTTAACACCCCTATATTACCCGTTCGAAAACCTGATGGGTCATATAGGGTGGTTCAAGACTTACGGGCAGTAAATAGAATAGTTGAAGATCTCCACCCAGTGGTGGCAAACCCGTATACCCTGTTAACTGCATTAACACCCGAGCTAATGTGGTTTACTGTTTTAGATTTGAAGGATGCCTTCTTTTGCCTTCCTCTCCATAAAGCCAGCCAGAAACTGTTTGCATTTGAATGGGAAAACCCTAAAAGTGGTCCAAGAGCTCAGCTTACCTGGACGGTGTTGCCACAAGGATTCAAGAATAGCCCTACTATTTTTGGTAACCAGCTCGCAAAAGACTTAGAATCCTGGGAAACCCCATCCGAAAAGGGAAAACTACTGCAGTATGTCGATGACATCTTGATTGCTACCGAGACAGAAGAAGACTGTGCAG